ATGTAACACTTTGACTTAATTGCTCTTTCGTAACTTAAAACTTGGAGGGCTCCCAATTCTCTAACGAACCCAGTAACCGAAAACATTATACTCACTATGGTATGAATTGCATGGAATTAAAAGATGGATAAATGGAAAGAATTGAAATTAAAAGATGGATAAATTATTTGATTATTTTATTTTACAACCTCAACTTCTGCGCAATAATCAGCAGTAAAGTTAACAAAATAAATCAAATCATGAAATGAATAAAAAATTTCATTATAGGCAATGTTTCGGGTAAAAACATCGTTTCGAAATCACGTTGAATTGCCCGAATCCTTTTTTATGCAAGCGCAAAAAAATAATGAAGATGCACTGTAAATGATGAAAATGCACTGTAAATAATGAAGATGCACTGAAAATATATGCAGTAGTAATTTATTTAACTGTTTTAAGTACTGCTGCTATCATTCTATATTATTATAACATAATTAAACTTCACTTACTACTTAGAACGTTACTTCAGATCAAGACTACCATTTAACTGGACAGTGTTTTCAAGCACTAAGATTTTCTTCATAGCATATACGTTTTTAAAATATCTCGTGTGGACAACACGACTTCTTTGAACGGCCTATTATTAAATTATACACATTTTTTGCTGCAATTCATTAAAACATACATGGGTTGGACAAAATATGGGAACACCGAAATAAAAACATACTGCTGTAACTATTACAGCGCAGGAAAACTGTTGGCTATCAAAGCAGCTTGTAGGCTTTTCAGAATGAATAAATAAAGGTTTTGGGAGGGAATCTTGTACCATACTTCTTATAAAACGTTGGCTGGTTAAGGTTTATTTAATGATGGTAAAACACACTACAGCTATGTGCCTAAGGAGAGAGATGCCTTCGTGAAAGCCTTTCTAAGGGAAACTAGCTCGTACACACGTTAAGGCCTGTCCACACGAGTACGCTCGAAACGTAGCTGATGAACGCGCTTTTATGTTACCAGCGTAAAAGTGTCCAAACAAGTACGCTTGCGAAGAGTGCGTTTAACCAATAGAATTATTTACACACACGAGTACGCTCGAAACGTAGCTGACGAACGCGCTTTTATGTTACCAGCGTAAAAGTGTCCAAACAAGTACGCTTGCGAAGAGTGCGTTTAACCAATAGAATTATTTTGTGCAAAAATCACATGACGGTGTAATATAGCGTCAACAGAGCTTTATCTTATTACTTCGCTGTGATTCTGTATGTTTGTGGCAAGTTGTCCGAATCAGACGATTTTTTTTTTATAGCTGAAACTTTACTATTAAGTGCAATTATTAAGCAAAGGCAAAACGTCGCAAAAAAAATGGCAAGAATGGGTCCGAAAGATTTATTTAGAGCATTTTTTTTTTTTTTTTTTTTTTTTTTTTTTTTTTACTGCCTCGTTTGCGAAATTAATATCCGGAATTATCAAATTCCTACTATTAGCTCACACTCTCCCCATATCTTGTTCAAATTTTCAGTACATAAAATGCTTTTTATTCATCCACTCAAGTTCAAATACAATTTTTAAACTAGTAGTGAAAGACACTTGATGTTAATACAGCTTTTTCACATATTAAAATTTTTTAAATTTTTAATTTTTAAAAATTCTGATTGTATTTTTATTTATTTACTTTTTTGTACTTTTTTAATTTTTCTTTGTGGACCTAAATAAGAATTGACTTTTTTTTTTTTTTTTTTTTTTTTTTTGTATATTGTTTTGTATTTGTTTGTTTTTGGTGTATTTAATATTGGGATATTTATGGAGCTTTTTATTACATATGATGTAGCCAATATTTATAATAATTAAGGAGAATTTTGTAAGGCAGAAACTTTGATTTCGTAGAAACTGTAATTTATTTAGGTTCCTATTACTTACGGTGTTATAAATAGGTGAAGCATATGGATATACTGGTCGGATCATTGCTTTATAAATATACAGTTTTTCCCTTTAATAAGAATTTTAAATTTATACCAATATATACGGTTTGAGAAATCTGAAGACAGCGTGAACAATGCTGATAATTTTATTGCTGTATACAGTTATGATATTTCTAAGCAAAAACTCATCTCTGTATGGTTCTGACGCCATATTGAAACGGGTAAGCAACAAGGTTTTCTGATTATGACACATGATAAGAACTTGGTGGGCTATAGGCTATACGCGCGCGTCGTGAGCGAAAAAGCTGAATAGGAGCGAACTCAGTTTTACGTCTTCTGCGTCATGCAAATTTACATCGGCGTCAAAAAAGTTGCGTCAACTACGTCACGAGCGTCCTCGTGTGGACGGGCCTTTACACGTGGAGAAAACTACCAAAACGTCCAGCCCATTCGGGAAATTCGAACCTCGGACCGAACTACCAGTGTTCAACAACTTTACCGCTCGACCGCTAGCGGGCACAAGACGCTGGCAAGTTCATTTAATGATAAATGCCAGTCGATAGCGCTCATAATATATATATATATATATATATATATATATATATATATGAACGTATATATAAACATAAGTATTGTCTCATATAATATATTTATATATATATATATATATGAGACAATACTTATGTTTTTGTTTCTCCATTAAATTATTTTTGGTCTTTTCCAACAGTTTTTGTCTTTTGCAATTTTTAAAGTTTCGATAGGTATTTTTCATTTTATTGGCCTTTTGGCATATATTGATTGCACAAGCTTTTTTTTTTAATTATTTTGTTTATTTATTTTTACTTAGAAGTAATTTTTTCTTATTATTACTTAATAAATTTTATTCCTTACTGTGCAGCTTCAGCGCAAGTTTTAGTCTTTTTTATTCCTATAAATTTCTTTTTAATCACTTTTAATATATATACATGTGTGTGCTTGGTGCGGCCGATTGCAACCAAAAAGGGGTACATATTATAGCAGTCCCATGTACAAAATTTCAAAGTTTTGAGGCTACTTATTTTTTAGTTAGTCGAGACACATACATACGTACGTACAGAAACCGCAAAAAAAAAGTTTCTTCTGAATCCACTTTTCAATCAGTTTTGGTCAAATTTTTTGCCAAATACTTCCTTTACTCTCTACAAGATACTAGAAATTGGAGTTACCGAGCTGCCTTAGTGGCAGTATATATATCAGCATTGGTTCGTAATCCTTTCTATTCGTGGAAATATTTGGCCTGACTAGAATTGCCGGTTTGGCTTTACCTTCTAACTCGAGTAAAGATGAAACACCTTCGTATTTACGTATTTTTATTAATTATTGTTCATTGAACGGGAGTTGGTTTGTTCCCCTTGAAAAGTCAACTAATTTCCGATCAATGACAATGATTACATGTTTTTAATTTTTCCTTTTACAATTGAAATTTTGTTCTTCATGATGATTTAATTCCAGTTCCCGTTAAAACATTATTAACATTTTACTTTCAAGTTACTTCAAAACATCTTTCAAAATATAATTTACCAGTATGGATTCACTCTTTTAAAATAATTCTACTTTAATTAAACTTAGGAGATAATATAATCAATTAATCAATATTGTTTAGGAAATAAATTATTATTAACTAACTTTGCAGCAATTGCGCAAGTAGTAGTAATTTGTTTTCGCACTAAATGAATTTAAGATCATACAACATTTATATTATTATATATACATACACATGTTTGGTGCGGCCAATTGCAACGAAAAAAGCAAGTGCGTAACTACATGTTACAGCAATCCGATGTACAAAATTTCAATGGTCTACAGCTATTCGTTTTTGAGTTGTGCGAGATACATACATACATAGGTACAGACTTCATGAAAAAGATTTTTCTGAATTCATTTTATTATCTGTTTTGGAAAAACTGTCTGTACGTTCAGATGTCACACAAAAACATCGTTCAAATGGATTCGAGAGTGGTTAAAATTGATATTTTCGTTGAAATATGATACTCTAAATTTTCCGCGATTACAATACTTCCTCCACTTCGTACAAGGAAGTAAAAAACGATCATTTGGCATAGAAATTCAGTTTGGTACACAATGAACGGTGGCTTTAAGTAATTTTTGGAAGTGATATATTAATTATTATTAACTTAAGGTAATTCAAAGTTCAATTTTGTTTGGGTTTTGGAACAAGATTATTTTCCAGAGTATTTTCACGGAAATGTTAAAGGAAAGTGGTGTAAAAATTACTTAAGTGGAAAATAATGTAACCATTTTAACAAAAATTTTAAAATAACAGGAAAACTTCAAAATGCGGGGTTTTATTCCACATTTGTCACGATAATCTCATATTCACAAAATCTTACAAAATTCCCAAACTTTCTGCCGCGCTTAATTTATCACTCTACTCATTACGTGTGGATCCGGAGACACTCTGCTTGCTATATTACTGCATGCAACACAGCCCTTGTGCTATGTGATTTCATACTATTCTTTTCTTTCGCAAATTGCTCATGCATGCAAATAAATGGATATCATCATCATTACATTCACTGCTGAACTGGTCAAATGCATAATTTTTCGAATTATCAAGACATCTTGATTTCTGTGCTTGTTACAAGGAAGGATGACTTCAGAAGAAGCAATGGCGAGCTGTATCAGTTAGGTGATATTTGCAAGAACAGATGCTAAAGTACCACTTAATGATTCGTGCCGGGCAGTTCTGGGAAAGAAATGGCAGTGATGTTACTTTTAACACAGAGTGGTCAGCAAAAATTGCTGTCGAACTCATCATCTGCATCAAAATCCCTATTTCGGCAGGGTTTACGAGCGCCGAAAATTTAAACCCATTTCTTCCGCGCTCGAGCTGGCAGAGTTTCTTTCTTCCTTTATTTTCCACCCGAGTTATCAGCCCATTTTCTTACAAGCAAGCAAAAATCCTGATCAGTTAGAAATATAGTATGCATCCATGTTAAGTTGGACGTTTTACCTTCTCTGAGTACACAATCTTACTCACGGTGTAACAAAACCGATGATACATTGCAAAGTGGAATGTAAAATGTAAGCAAAGAAACATAGTTAAGCACAAAGACCGCAAAAGTCATTTTAATCACATATATTTACATGAGATAGTAAATGATATTTACAAAAATTGATGAAATGAACAACCACCAATTGCAATACAAGCATAACAAAGATGTTGGATCTCATTTACGAGACGCAAATTCTCCAGCATTAGCTTAATTATTGCAGAAGTATGTGATATACCAGGCATCTTCCAAAGTATACAACAATAACTTAATTGCGATGCAAGTGCTGCAGTTGGTGGTTATTCATATAAATAATGCTTGTAAATATCGGACATTATTTGACATAATTTGTTGCCAATAGCATGGATTAAAGTGATTTTTCGCCCTCTATATTCTTTAGACTTAACTGTGTTTCCCTGCATTCTTACTTCACATTCCACCAGCATCATAATAATCGTTACTTTCGCCCTGTTTTATTATCCCTTAAAGTTGGGATCATCGATCTTGTTACAACTACGTATATATAGATTCTGCAGTTACAAGAAATGCAAAAAGGAAGCCTTGAAACGTGATCTTTTAGAAATCAGATGCCTTACACTGAGTGTCGTAATTACTAAACCAGTTATTCCATACTATTTTTTTTAATCCAATGGCGCGCACTTGCCTATTCAGCACTGGCCATAAGTTATTCCACAATATAAAATGCCAAACACTGAGTCAAATAAGCAGAGTTACCATATTTACTTAGAGATAATCCAGCTCACTTTCAAATATATTTAAGGAAAACTACATGACAAATAAATCTTGGTATAAATAAAGAGGAGAAATGATGAAGCAAAGAAAATGATCAACAAAGTATCTAAAATATAGAAAAGTACACGGTGTATATTCTGCAGCAAGTTTTCTGTAAAGATGTAGATGATCGAGTTGATAACCTCTAGATCAGGGATGGGCAAATGATGGCCCGCTCCAGCCTGCCTGAAAATTCGATTCGGTCCACTGCAAATCTATCTATCTATATATAATATATTTACGATATTACTATACAATATATAAGCAACTTTTCTGATATGTGCCGCTATTCCGCCAAAAATCAGCTGGGAGACATGAAATTCGCAGTACACCGGCACAACGTAAGTATGAGGATAGTACAAGTACGGCTGAGGAAAGTCTAGTAGCAAAGAAATAAACAGGACGCATATAGTATGAAACGAATAGAAAATGGCTTTATTGACAAAATTAGCATTGGTACAAAAAACTGTCTGGCCAAGAGGAAGAACGACAAGCCAAAGAGCCTTAATTAGGGATATGACCTCCTCTAAGTGCAATGAGTGCGCTGCACTGTTTGTTGATACTAAACACCAGATTATCTACCAGTTCTTGGAGTTCAGGGTTCTTCCAAGGAGCATTTGTTTGTTGTCTAGTGTTCTCCAGAGGCCAGGCGTCTTCCTAAAGTATCCCACACATGTCCAATGAAATTTAAATCAGGGGTGCGCGATGGCCAATCCATTCCGTGCATATGTAACCCACAAAAACAAAGTCGGGACCAACAGCACATCGGAAAAGACTCCAGTAGGGAAGGATACTTCATAATAACCATGTCTAGTACCATTCATAAGAATGCCTCATCATACAAGCATGCCAGAACCACCCCAATGGTCTCTTTTTTTATATCAAGAGGAAAGAGTGTCCCTACCTCTCTCCATATCATGTGGCACCGAGAATCGTTTGTCAGATGGAAATGACTCTTATCGGTAAAGAAAACGTGATTTCATTGGTGAGGTGTCCAGTCTCTGTGTTCTCTACACCACTTTAAACTGTGGTGTCGATGGGCTGCTAGCAAAGATAAGCAGCATTTAAGACGGCGGGGTAACTAGGCTGTTTGGCCACATTACAACGAGACACCCGCTTTCCTGTTGCCCACTGTCTGGTTTCGATCTCTTTTCACCTGCAGGGCAATATATCAGTGATCAGTCACCATTGTTTTCTATGGCGGAGCACCACTAACCTTTCTTACAGCTGTACCTGTCGTTTTGGAAGATTTTCAAAGCTCATGAAATATTACTTTTATCAGTTCCGAACTCTTGGGCGATAGATGATAAACTACACCTGCACTAAAACTTGCCAATCATTCCACCATATCTAAGACGTCTAAGACATGATGTTTTCTTGCAGCCATAATCACACGCACAATCTCACTTTTACTTGCAGAAGAATACTTGGAAATGCATCTTCCTTTCTTCTTTTTAAGTTGCACTGCGCGCGCTGACTCCTCGCATTTTGCGTCCCCTGATGTACTCTCTGACGTCTAAGGCTGATGACATCTGCACATGCACCACCTTTCTACTGAGTTGCCTTTTCAATGAAGTGATCGTAAGAAGACCCTTTCAACTATTTCATAGCTGTATACTGAAAAATAAATTTGTTGCTTAAGTTTTGCAAATTAGCGTAATATAATACATTAAATTTTATTACATACAATATTTATTGTATAAAGCTCGTTCTAAAAAAAAAAAAACAGAGGTTACGTAATTGGCGAGAAAAACTAGTTCATGTAGAGGTCTGTTATCGCATTTCACTGACATTTGCACTGCGCATTTTAAGCTCCACCCAGTACCTTTCTATTGTGGCGCAAGCGCAGACAACTATAATAAGGCTGAAATTTTCTCAGAAAGTTATATTTATTAATAATTTTCTTAAACAAATAAAAGTACACTTTTCTTTTCTCTCTTTTTTAATGAACACTGAAATTTTAATAATTTTCAAGATGACCTGTGTAAGTCTGTGCTGAATAGAAAACCTGTGCTTGATGTAATGATGAGGTTTGTAAATACTATTCGATTTCCTGAACTTACTCCCAAGCAATTTCGAGATTTTCTTCAGTCTAATATCCTGATGTCAGTCTGAATACCTGATGGGCTGTACTGCGCGAAAGTAAGGTGGCTTACTGCATGATGTGTTTTTGATAGAGTTTGGAAACTAAAAGACGACATTGTATCATCCATCCATCAGAAAGGGTGAGAACGGAGAGTTTCGGAGATACAGCATTAGCGTGGTTTACGGGCTTTGCATTTTTCAGAGATATTTTCTGTCATACAAAAAAAGTAAAGGAAAAAAATCTACTTATCGATGATATCTGAGCCCATTTCAAGGGTTTTTAACTAAAACTTGATCTGTTTGCCGAGCAGGTAGCTAATAGTGACTTGTATTATTTTTCGAGGTTAAATTTAAACTGCATTTGAATCTGAATGCATATTTCAAGATTTTAGTACCATTCAAACAAAACTGGATATTTTCGTCACCATGCTTTCCAAAGTAAATTATGAAGCAGCGAGGTCAAATCTGCATCTTAAATTAATTGAGTTACAATCTAAAAATTATCTCAGGCATTTGTTTCTCATTGTTCCAAAATTACTAGATACTACTCTAGATACTAAAATCCGAAAAACTATGTGACTTTATTGGAAATGCCGAAACCTTTGGAAGTTCACTATAGCAGTATAAAACAATTTACAAATCATTATCGAAAGCAAGTTTCCTAAATTTAATATCTCACGTCCAGAAAATTAGGGCTGTCTTTACTTCTTATGTCAACAAGTGTTTTCTGCCATGAAAATCAAGAAGAATTCTACTAGAAATAAACTGAAAGAATAATTCTCAGAATTTGTACATCGCAATTCGAACCTGAATTTAAGGAACTTTTAAAAACGCAATTGCAGTTTTATTCATCAGATTAATATCTATATACTATAATATATATAAGTATATATGATTTAATTCCAGTCCCTGTTAAACATTTTTAACAATTTACATTCAAATTACTTATCCATAGGTGACACATCGGGAGATTTAGTAGGGATATCAGTGAAGGGGGCCTTGATATCAGTTTTTTGTTCCATTTCTTTTAGGAAATTTACAGTGGATTTTGATGTGTGACAGCTAGCTTTGTCCTGATGGATCTCACAGATGGATGGCACTGTGGGTAAAACGGTGGTATTTCATTCAGAAAAATTGGTGATAAAATATGTTTCTGATAGTATTTGGAATTAATCTTGACATTTTTTTGCACTCTCTTTATTTTTAACTAGCCATTATAAGAAAAACCAGCAACAATCATAAATCCCTTGGAAAAACTTTCTTTCGATTCTTTGAACCATGTACTTAAATTTTTTCCCTCCCCTTTTATGATAATAAATGGCTCTTTTTTTTTTTTTTTTTTTTTTGTTACAATCATTTAAATACACCCATGCTTCATCTATTGTGACAACTGTTTTCCATTTTTCTTTGGATAAGTGTTTCTCATAAAGAATTCTGCAGCGTGTCCTGCATTGAGCGATATGTTTTGGAAGAAGATCATGCACATTGCGTTTTTTCGCTTTCTTAAGATTTAAATCAACGTTTATCATTTTGTTTACTTAGGACATTGAGCATTTTAATGACTTTGTAACTGTCCTTTGACTAGGGGGATTGTCTTTTTAACATTAAACAACATACCTTTGCAATAGTCGAAGATGTCCGTTTTTTCCTTGGATACTTGTTTGGAATTTTTGTCCCACTTGAGGCTCCAATTTGACGTTTGTTTCCTTTCTTGTTGATGATATTACCTATCGACGCTTTAGATATCACAAAACCATGACTATCACATCGTTTTTGGATAACGGAGTATGCATGTTTCTCTTCGGAAAGAGCGTAAACGTAGCCTTTGAACCACTGCTTTGTTAAATTCGCCATTTTGAATAAAAACAAAACCTTCAAGCCACAGACGATAATTTTGACTTTTAAAAACATGGTACAATTGCAATTACTTCTTTTGCAGCAAAAGATTTTTTATTACCGCTTACCAAAATCGTCTAAAAAATGTGCGAACAGCCTCTGTATAAACAATAGTTAAGGGAAAATCTCTTTCCATCTGACTACTCTTACTTAAGTTAATGACCTTAATCTCCTCATAAAATGAATGACTATTCTTATTTCCCAAGCTTTAGCAATATATTGCGTGTTATTTTAATAAAATCATGATTGCAATAGAGGGAATCTAAATATAAGAAATTTTCCTGGAATTAAATCACAAGAAAGTTATCCAGCATTTTTTTTTTTTTACTGAGTTTTAAAATTCTGTCCAATATAAGGAAGAAAAGCTCGCTATTTAGAGGCATACAAAATTACGCCTTCGACTATTATTTATGCTTGAAGAAGAGAATCTCCAATTTGTTTCTTCGCCTATGATAACAGTTTTAAGTACTTGCGAATATTACAACTTCACAGTCCTGAAACTAAAACCATTAAATGATAATTAAGGAACAACAGCCTTTTACAGCACTTTATAGTTACTGATGAAAAAACAAAGCGGGTGAAAACATGACATGTCCCATGTCAGCCGATATCAAATCAGCCGAAAAGAAAAACAGACGCTCTTGTTCGCACCGATAAGTGTAGAACTATACAACTTCGGTCAAGACTTCGCAGTTGCCCCTTTCTAGTTAACCATATGCTGTTTCCGAATGTCTATTTGTAAGTTAGGCCATAAGTTTGTGAAATTCCAACCTGTGTACTTTTAAGTTACAGTTGAAGTTAAGAATCTTAAGAACTGGTAAACGAAAAATCGCTTGAGTTCGTGAGACAGAAAATGAAACTTGGGAAGGGTTAAATACCCTTTATTATTCCAAACTACTTCCCACAACATTATTCCCACAACTTCTTGTTGGAGTTTTACAATAAAGCCTCTAGTAGGGCTTGAACTCAAGACCTAAGAAATTAAATTTAACTAATCTTAACTAAAAAGATATAGCCGAAGCTATCAAGATTCTAACAGAGTTGGATCCTTAACGCTAAATAACTGTGAAGCTATCAAGGGCCTAAAGTACGGCCGAGCGTAATAATAGCTTAAGAGAGAGTAGCCTAAAAAGGCGAACGCGCACTAGTCAGAATCACTGGTTCTCTCTAACAAAATCAGTTGGTTTCAGCACTAGTCAGAATCACTGGTTCTCTCTAACGAAATCAGTATTGAGCTGGGGTGTCTCTAGTGAGCATTGTTGTTAGTAGCATGCTGTATCGAAGCTCCGCTTCTTCCTTCAGCAATAGCGGAAATAATTCATACAGCAAGCTAACTCTGGTATTTAGGGGAACATGAGCTGTGCATTTTGAGACATCGTATATCCCGATACTTTAAGTAGTAAATTTTCTACGAATTAATTAGCAAAGTTATAGCAGCGAACGTATGTACTCTTTGTGTACAGTGCTTTAAGACACAACAGAAGAGCCGCCGCACATCGGAGCCAAGTGTAAGTTACATCTTTGGAACCGGAATCTCACAAGGAGTAGTTTGAGTCTATTTTCATAAGCGTACGTTAATTAGGAAATTAACTATCGCAAAAATAGTTGTTTTTGCAAGTGGTGCGAGCAGTCAACAGGAAGTAATTCCCCCTCCCCAAAAAGCCGTGCTGATTGCGCCTTGAACGAACCGGAGCTTCACAATAAACAACTGAACAATAGCTACTGGACAATTGTCTTTAACGTGCATAACTTCCGCAATTTTTTATCCAAGACATCGAAACCAGGATATATCTTCACAGCACAGCAGAAGAAATCCAAAAATCGAAAATTGGAAAAAATCGGACAACCGGTTCAAATGTTACTAATTTATTTTTCATTTTCTGGACTTGGTCGCAACGAAGAAACTCTCGTCGCCCGCAGTGTTTAGTGGAAACAACCTACGCAGTACTACCTTTTAAGTGCAGTGAGTTTGTTACTGTGTATAACTACATCATTTACTCATCTAAGCGCAGCGATTTGCGTTTAAACTTTGTACAGTGTGTGTATTTATCTCATTAGTAATTGGATTACCCTACGTTTTATAACAGATGAAGAACAGACGAAGCATTGCTACAAAGGTAGGATTCAACATCATAAGAAATTTCCAGGTCATTTGTATTAAGAACTTAATTCTGCGGTCTAATTTATTTAATTGAATACTTGACTTATTCCTCTAACTTGTATACTGCATAAATTTATCCTTTGCCAATTAACTGTTAATCTCTGATCCTGAGCTGTAAATTCATCCTAATTAACTAGGCAAGCTCTAATTAGTTACAACTGCTTTCCTTATATTTCACTGAACATATCACCCCTAATTCATTTTTTAATCATTACTATTATTTTTTATTTATTTATTTTATGTTTAATTTGAACCGGGAAATATTCACTAGACACTTTTAAATTCTGCAATTTTAATTCAGTTGTTTTATAATATAGCCATTTTAACTTATTATGCGATAAATAATATTTACGCAATATTTATTCTTAACAATCTTAACAATTTATGTGAGGATAATGTGTGTTTCATTCATTGTATTCATTAATTATTTGGTTAGCTGTTCGACTGTGTTCCTTTATTACTAATCAGTTGCATT